GGCTACTTCTCCTACAGAGTCGTGTCAATATGGAACAGCCTGCCGGACAGCGTCGTCACTGCCCCCTCTATTAACGCCTTCAAGATCAGGCTCGACAAGCACTGGGCAACACGCATAGAACAGTACGACCCCGAATGCTGTCATTAGCTCCCCTTTTGGCATTTCTAGACTAACTGCTAGCCATGCATGCGACAAGTAGTCAAGAAGCAACCCAACTAGGCCAAATAGTCAAGAAGCAACCCTCCAACCAGGCGTGGTGAACAGGCCGCAAGGCCTTTTACACTGAACTTATCAAGTATAAGTATCAAGTATCAAGTATTCCTATTTTAAACAAATACCTAGTCAACTATACTTAATAGTCTGTCATTGCATTCTCAACCGTGTTTACCTTGCAAACCCTTTTGGTTCTTTGGTTTTACTTAACTTGTTTTGATTCCATTTAATTATGACTAAATCCCTTGCTTGCTTTGTTAAGGTTAACTGATAAGTCCCTTGCCTTCACTTTACCCTGCAGTGCTTGATTACTAATTAATCATTTCAATCACAGCTTCTTAAATTATACATCCTTTGCTATTTTATTAATTTAATTTATTTTTACAGCTGGCACGGTAATGTCAAGTCCACATTAACCCGGCCTGTGCTCTTTCCCTTATTAGTGATTTTTGGATTTTATTTTTGCCTAGGCCTACCGCAAATCTTAATTTGTTCATTTGATATTGTTCCTAATAAAATTTAAAACCTTAAAGCTTTCAAACCTTAAATTTAGACAAGAATTAGCGCTTCCACAAATACTTATTCATTCTCGTTGTCGTGGCCCTTCCTGTTATAAGGGGGGATAAGTTGCAACTCGCGGTGCGCTGAGACTCACACAATAACAACGGCGCACGGCGCATTTTTTTACCAGCATAGTACGGCGCACCGCGCAGGTTGTTAAAATGATAAAATAAATTCCCGCGCACCTGGCACATCTTCCTGACCATGGCACAGACCTAGTGTTTTGGCAATAGTATGACGTCACCATTTTAACCATCAACAAATGCGTGGAAGTGTGGAACTATGACAAAGCTTAATATAAAGGAAAAAAGTGGAGAAGTGTCGGAATTACCCACAATGTCGCCATCATGTCGGAATATACCGCATTTACCCTAGATACCTAGTTTTCTCGGGAAGCAGTGGATTGCTAGTAGGCAGCCAGCCTACCTACTTTTGCCCACCTACCACGCTTTGTAAGTTTGTTATGTCTAGACTGTAAATATCTGTATTTAATGTCGTGACTGCAGGTTCTCTATGAGATTTATATATACCGTGGTCCGTGGCCGTGGCCCGTGCATGTGGCCTATGCCCTATGAAAGTTTGCTGATCCACATTGATTAATCCTTGTACATTAGGGCCTGTGGGCAGAGACCCAGTAACTTTATTGTATGCACTCACTATGCAGGGTTGTTGTCCCGCTACTGCACTACAGAGCCTGAGGGACTCTTTAAAACAGGCGTCACCCGCGTCAGTGTTGTGTATTACAGTAACAGTAGGTATTCTCTTACCAACATTATGCAGTATAAAGAAACTCTAACAGACGAAATCCTATATCAACATAATCACTATCATACTATGTGGTTCTTGCCAAAAGGTAGTCGATTCTTCATATACATACGTCCCACGCCCGTCGTTTACACTCCAGTTACTCCACCGGTCCACCGCAGCTCGAACTGGTGTTGTTTTCGACGTCAAAACGTTGAAGTAGGCTAGTTCAAAGTATTATTATTGTTCACGTGCGAAAGGTAGATATCACAGAAATATTCGCCATCTGGCGTGTTACCCAGAGGTTTTTACTTTTGAATAAAGAATCGCAATTAGCTGTTATAATACTTTTCAGCTATCATAATACGCTAAAATATGAAAAATTTTAAGGTAACTGAGCTGTATTCATATGTAAAACATTCGCATATATTGCATCCATGATGATGATCCATGTGCCTCCCAACTTGGCCGTTACCATCAGGAATCCCGATGAACTGACAGTAAAATCAAGTCATTTCAATAACACCGCTTAAATTTTGTTGCGTTTACTATCATTTGAAAACTCTTATACAGCGCGATTCTACCACAAGTGTGTGTGTGCTTTGTTGAAGGTGATTCTACCACAAGTTACAAGGTGGCTGGGCCAGTGGTTACAGTTCAGAGTACCATGATTGGAGCAGAGAGGCGCGGGTTCGATCCCAGCTCTGTGCGCCAGTTTCTGGTCAGAATCGGCAAGGAGGCCGAGCGGTTGAGCACAGCAGAATTGTGGCAATGAGTTGCAAGTTCGAGACCGCAAAATGCTGCGATGTTGAGAATTGGCGACAGGCCTACAGCCTACTAAACGATGACACCGCTATTATTATTTATTATAAAGTACGACTTGGTCGATTGGCCAAGTGCAAATTAATGACACTACGTAAAACCGACTACAAAATGGTGATGGTGAAGGAAAAAAAAACAAACTGGATGACAATGTTTGTCATTGCTTTCTCAAATCTTGCATATTGGAGATTAACGTTATCAGATAGAGCTTAGAAATGAATTAGTTATTAAGTTATCAACACCAGTTTGATATCAAATGAAATATACTGGCTCCATGTTGCCTTGTAGTTGAATAAAAATCGTACTGCATAAATGAATTACTGATTTCATACATCGAATGACACGTTATAAGTCTACTACATCTGTTTGAAATAACAGAGGTTGAAGAAGCGCATAACGTCCATTGATTGACGAAATGCTTCTAAAATCACATAAGCTTGTTGGTGAAAATTAGCCCAGTTTTCATGCGGGTTATTTTCTAGCTAATTATTATCCAAGACATTAACAATTGAGGTCAAGACTCAAGTATTAAACATTCAATGATCTAACTGAACAGAAATTGAAATATTCTCATTATCACAGCGTTATTTCTTTCTAAAATTACAATTATCGTAGAAATAACAAATACACAAACATAGGTAAAGTAATATAACCGGAATCAGTCCAGGAAAACTGAATTTACAATTTAAGCTATTTTGTAGAACATCAATCTAATCTAAAATATAATACAAAAATTCGATAATTTTAAGTTGTATCTATATCGAACACATTAAAAAAATAGTTAAAACCTAAAATATGGTTTTCAGGCTCATATGTTTTTAAGATCTCTTCAATGAAATATTACGATGAAACCAAACGATATAAGATGTTAGAAAAATATGTAGTTATAATTCAAATAGAAGTCAAGATTAACATAACTGACGGAGGTCAGCGCAGTCTTTAGTTGAAGTGACCAACTGAACCACTATGGCCAACTGAATGAAATCAGACGTTTTATAGATTTTGAAACCAAGCCATTAATTTAAAATTATCCTAAAATTTAAATTTATTATATTATTAGAGGAAAACTACATAAACAATTATAAAAATTCCACATACCAATATAGACGAGTTTCACAAGCAGAAAAAATTAAAAACTACTCAAAGTTAAAAGGAGTAAAACAAAACAAGACTGAAAATTCGTTTGCGCTTTCGAGACAAATAATTCACGCCATTGTCACGCTGACATTGTCACGCTGACATTGTCACGCCATTTATGCTGATGATGCTAAAGCAATTTAGGCGGGAAATAAACCGTTGCGACCGTCAATAAGAAACAAAAACTTCCAAAAATGGGGACCGTGCCATAGAAAAATGACCAGCAGCATGTAATAATGACTAAGAAATATCTCATGTTTAGTCCCACAACTACTTTGAACATTTTCGGCTTCTTAAACTTGCAACTAATCATAATGCGTACCAACGACGAGCATTGAACGAAAAATAATCGTCAATTGCATCTACCTTTTCTCACTTATAAAAAATTCGGGAATGCGAAAATTCTGTTGAAAATTAAGTGCATTGAATTTGATCATAATTTAAGAATTTCAAGGGGGCACACATTTATAAAATCATTTCTGAAACTGAACGAAATCTCATTAACAAATAGAAAAATCTAGACCAAACTATTGGAAACCTTTTAAAATTATGGAGACACAAAACATACAGTATATAGACATCAACGCCACCAGGGCTAATATATACATTAAAAAAAATAATAGAAGAACTATGATATTACCTTTTTAGATCGTATTCGGAAACTTCATTGAATATCACCATTGATAAACCATGATTAACATTGCCACATATCTATAATAAATGGCGCAGCTTTCTCTGATTCAAATAATAACCCTAGATATTAGAATACAAAATTAATACCAAATCCAACACAATTCCTCTGTCAAACATTAAGAACATACAATTAAATTGAACAATATTAAACATTGCCACGTGGGATAAAAAACTTTTCATTTGGTTCATGCTGCTACTGTCTGTCTGGGTTCATCCTGATTAATTAGACAACGGGTGGACGCCGGCAACTTCAACTGAATTTTTTAACTTTCATCGAATTAGTTGAATGTTTTAACTAGTAAGAAAAATATTCGAATTAGAATTAGTTATTAAGTTATTATTCAAATTACGTGAAAAAATTAATTAAAGGTTTAACTGCTAATAAACGAGCCATAAATATGTGGCAGCATATGAAATAGCGTCAAGATTGTCCCCCTCCAATTCGATCTGTAATCATAAGCAAGGATCGTGTCCAGCCCTCTCATATCTAACGATATCTCGGCATGCTGGAGAGGTCTCAACAATCCAGCTGTTAATGATATTAGCATATCATATAGACTTAAAACTTAGATGAACAATTAAAAAAACAGGAAAAGGTAGAATCAGATTCAATGGCACCAATAAGAAAACTTTCTCCTATGTCCACGTTCAATCGTGTTGCTACGATTTCAGTGCTTCTTCCAACAAAATATTGAAATGATCAACCAGTTTGTTCCCGTATCGTACTAGTTTCTTGAAACCAATGAATCACGAATCGAACAGACTCTAAAAATGTTAAAAGTTTCCACATACAATTAATAACACCAAAATCGTGGCAAGTGAATGAATAAGAACGACCAACTATTTAAAAGTAAGCTAAAATCAGAGATGGTATATTAAGTCACCAAACTGCAGGAGCATTTCTCACTGAAAGTACTGCCTGCATCCATAAATCTTTACGTCTTTCTTCAGTTGTCTCGCGCAAAGAGCAAAAAAGTGCGCCGTCATGCATTGACCACGAGTAAAGATGCGTGTTAATTCGCGCGGTAACTAAAGAAGGAACTTAAGACGGACCATAATGCTTGTCAAGCCACGTCCAGCGCTTCATGTAACAACAAATCTTACTCTGCTTCCTTAAGCAAAGCATTTACAATGCACTTAATAGGAACATAAATGAGAATACGTACAATAAACATAAAAATTACCACTTAAAAAATAAAACACACAATACGCTCACATGAGATCAATAAATAGAATAAGCTAACCCGACTCGAGATATGGGAGTCGGTTAGGGGTTACGCCAGCAAGTCTCCAGAAAATAAGAGATGACTACAAAGAGGCCGGCCCAGCAGGGCCCTCGAGACAGAGTCGGTCATGGTACAGAGCTGCTCAGGAGACGATGTTCCTGGAAGATATCTTGCTTGCCGATCACTCGGCCTCTCTTAGAGCTCGGGCCCCGCGAGCGCGGCAACAATAAGCGAGTGGAAGGAAGGCGTCGCGATCTCTGGGATTTTCTCCTAAAATTCTGTGACTCAGAGTCGGGGCACTGAGAAGTGGGGATACAGGCGCCTCTGTGCAGGACAGTGGGGAATGGGCAGTAGCAGCCAGGGCTGCAGCGGCGGGTGTGGCAGTCGGGGTTGGGGTGAGGATTGCGGCAGGTCGGGCGACATGCTGGCGCGCACTCCATGTACTCCGCACCTCGGGGGCACTCAAGACCTGCGAGTTACAAGAGGAATAGTAGAGAGTGGCACGCTAGAATCATGTGATGCGACTTCGATAAAAAATGTAGTAACAGTTAATTAAATATTGAGCAACAATTCGGATTTTGACAATTTAATCCGGAAGACAGGAAAACTCGGTTCCATGATTCAAAGATAAGAGATTTTGATGAGAATACGTAACTACCATACTGTGATAACTGACTTCGAAATAAAAATTGCAAAATTATTAGGAACGTTCCACTTTACCAAAGTTCATATATTATACTATGTAAGCAGAAAGAAAACTTGAATCCTATTAGCGAAGAAACATTTCATACATTCCATCTAGCTTACGGTAATAAAGCAGTAACATTTACCACCACATTTGGTGACATTCCTCCATGATGGAATGCTGACCCCGAGCCTGTGGCACTCCCTTGCGTACGCCATGATGGCACCGCACTGGCACTGACGCTCTCCTGAACACCGACACATGTCGTCCACACACGCCCTAAACAGCATGACAAATAATTCAGTCTTGGGGGGAAAGTAACGGGGAATAGAAACAACTGCAAAAAAGATAATGGATAAGCAACATAACTGCAGTAAAAAAAATAGCAATATAAAATGCAGTAAAATAATAAACGGACTGTATTTAAGCAAAACAACTGCACAGATGTAAAAGTAATGTATTGATGCAAAACAAATGTAAAGGTAATCGTAATTATCTCATAGTACTGGATAGTATTTCATGGCACACGGCTATCAAGTTACTGCGTTAAACTGAAATATGATTTTAATCTGCACGGTATAGGTAGTGGTGCCATAGCTACGGAGAACACGTAGGTGCTACTCATGAAATGAATAGCAGGCATGAAACTCACTTTAAAACGGTCAATTGAAAAATAAAACGTAGCTGCTACTCATGAAAAGAATAACAGGAAAGAGATAAACGGAATTATGAATGGACTCACTTAATAAAGGATTGAGTGGGCAAGACTTCGTGGCACGCCAGCAAAGCGGACGAGTTGAGAACATCGCATCGCTGAACCGAAGCCTCGCTAGGGCTCGAGCAAAAGGCCAGTCGTTGTTCTCTACTTCGGGGACTCTGGCGAGGATATTTTCTGGTTATTATCGAGGGTTTTTAAAGTTAATCCTAGGTAGTCCTTCACACAGCTTTCTTAGGTTGTCTATATCACAGATCTCTTAGATTGCTCTTATTCCACCTCTTTCAGGTTGTTCTCTTACACCTCTCTCTTTTTTGTATCCCTCTCACACTTTTAACTCTCACCCTCCTCCAACCTCTCGCTCTCTCTCGCCCCCCTTACATCTTTCACATTGCTCTCCTCCCATCTTTCTCTCTCTCTCTCTCGCCCTTTTCACACCTCTCTCTTTACCCCTTTCACACCTCTCTCTCTCTCTCTCTCGCCTTCCTCACATTTTTCACATTGATCTCCTCCTACCTCTCTCTTTCTCTCGCCCTCATCACACTTCTCTCTCTCTCTCTCATCCCTCTCCCACTTCTAGCTCCCCCCCTCACCTCTCTCAGATGGTCTCGTTGTCGCCTCGAGCAGCGGCCGCGGGCCCAGCTCCTCGCCGCCTCAGTGAGGCTGAGGTCATCAGCCTCCGCCTCACTGGAGCCTGAGACGCGCCTGAACTCTGCCTCCCTGGAGCTGCTGGAGCGCGTCAGGTCGTCGTGCATGTCGCCGTTGAAGTTGCCGCACAATCCGCAGGTTTTGTTCTGCCATTTGGAGTCCAACACCAACTCGATGTAGCTCTCCCCGTCCCACAGCAGCTGTAAGCCTGGTAGAGTACATCAGTAACAAGTTAGTATGCTAGTAGAATTATTAGATCAGTTGAGGTAATACCGAAGAGGTGATATTGTTTTTATTGTTTGTTTGTTTATTGTTTGTTTGTTTTTATTGTTTATATTGTTTTTAGACGCTTTTTAAATAAATTCTACGATTTAAAAGCAAAATATTTGGAGAGAAAAATTTAAAAAATTATATTCCTTTGAAACACCAACAACACTGCAAACAGGAATACAACACTCCCACATATTGTCAACATGAATACAACATAAGACGTTGCCAACAGTAATTCAAGAGACCCGCAAACATCTTAATATTAACAACAGGAATACACCACAAGACGTTGTCAACAGTAATTCAACACATCCACAAATATCTTAAAATTATCAACAGTAATTCAACAGACCCATGGTAGTGTTGAGCTGAATGCCGTGGCCGACCTGGTCGATGACTAGCACGTCTTGCCTGTGCCTGTAGGGCAGCTGTACACGACTGCCGTTCACCTTCGTCTTGCGCGAGACCATCATCGTCACCTGAACCCGCAAGATTATATTCAATGCACATCGCCAATGAATATTAATTCCATCCAAACTGCTATTTATTTCAATAAGGCCAGCGTCCAATATTTCAACTGAAGGACACGAATCTTTGGTCCCGATATCTCAGTTTGTTTTATGAAATTCCCCTAACGGGATGAAGGCAGGACTTTTATATGTATATTTTTATTACGTAAAACCTAACCTAATTGAGCAGGGGCCGTCGTATCAGAAATAGGTAATAGTTTGTAACTCCTTCAGCTAATCACTGACGGCTTTTCAAGCTCAACCCACCAATCACAGACGAGAAATCGACCACTACGAGTACTTAAGCAAGCTATGATAATCCGGCCTCCATAATATTAGGGTATTAATAATTGGGAATTAATTTAAAAGAAGTTAATTCCAACAGATCCTTTACCTTGATCTTGTAGGTGCCAAGGTGCAGCTTGAGCACGAGAGATCGCATGAAAGGCAGGACGGAGTTGGTGCTATGAGGATGGTTGATTATTTTCAGCTGGAACTTGCTTCGCCTGCTGCAGTCTTTGGCTAGCGTGTACTTGCAGTCACCCTAATGAAGAAGTTAATTTAGTCGTCTTTTCTAATTCGTCTGCTGCAATTAAAGCATGTATCGGTGCTCATTAAAATTTACTTCATTGTCATTTTTTTAGATTCTTGGATTGAGACAAAGTTTAATAACTTCCGGCAATCACTGGATCGTGTCTGAGCAGGTCAAGACACCTTACAATTACGATTATTATCCGACAAAAAATATGCTATTTCACTGATAATTAATTAAAGTGACAGCCGGTTTACTATAATATACAGATAATTACTTAATATATGAAGTTATACCAAACAAAAAATTAAATAATGGACAATGTTATTCCAAAGACAAAGTTATACAAAGGACATAGTCATATCAAGGAAAAATTGACCCAAAGCACACAAAGTTGACCGCAAGTATTGGACAATATATTAATATATTGTATATATATACAATAGTATATAGTATAGTATAGGACAAGTATAAGACAATTCAAATAATTTCACGCTCCTAATCAAGTTCAGGATCGTCAGTTATGGAAAGATCGGGTTCCAAAGGCCGGATCCCTTGTGAATCAAGTCACGAAAAATTCAAGAATCGGCAACAGGCCATGGGCCTATTTCTTCAGTGCCGACACTTCTATTCTATTCTAGGAGCGCCCCGCACCTGGAAGTCGTAGTGGAGGCCATCGAAGGTCTTGTAGTGCGGCATACCGAAGGCGAGACAGGCGCCGTGCTGGGCCACGCAGCGCGGACAGCACGACCCGCTCACGTCCTCCAGCTGACAACCACAACGCCTTCATTACCACGCAATGATTCGTTGCTACCTCATAGTAGTAGCATAGTAGTGCTACCACATCTTACTTTACCATTGCGAATTTTCATTTAACACTATATATCTGCCTTTCTCACTTAATAACTCGTTGCGATAACATGGGTTATCTTCATCTACCACGAAGTAACTCGTTGCGATGTAATGGTTTGTCTTCATTTACACGAAGTAACTCGTTGAGATGACATAGTTTATCCGAATTTACCACGAAGTAACTCGTTGCTCTCACATAGTTTATCTTTATTTACCGTTGCAAATCTAAATTTAACACTCTATATCTGCCTTTCTCACTTAATAACTCGTTGCAAATGACATAGTTTATCTTCATTTACCACTAAAAAATTTATTATGTTATTGCTGGTTACGCTTCCTCACTAGATACTAATAATCAGCGATCTATAGTTCAACCGTATGTCTAGTGACGCGATTAGAGTTCCCTGGACTTCAGAAACGCATTAAAATACAAACATTGATATACGGCAGCAAAAAAAATCAAAGAAATTGAGTTGCTTTAGACATATGAAGATCTTTCACCTATTATTTACGGCAAATTTACAAATGAAAATATCAGTCAATAATTTAATTGATAACAACGGAAAAAATTCACACATAATTTGTATTAAATTTCAAGAAATTTTTAACTCTAAGGAATCAGAAATAGAGTTGTAGATAATGTAGAGTTAATTTGAAGAACGATATTTCGATAACAAATTACGACATCGGCAAATGAAAAACGAAAAATGAATATGCCGGTTATCGTGCTTTAATTATCGTGATAACAAACTATACCCAGAATGAAGCCCAAACGAAATTGTGCCCTTGTATAGAAGCCCAAATAGAATTGTGCCAAACAAAAATTGTGCAAGGGTAGAATGGATAGCACGATAACCCTCATTCATACCTTGTCGTAATAAAGAACTAGTGCGTCACGTCATGTAGTAAGGAATTTAAAAGCAAAGAAAACGCCAAGAAAATTCACCATATCGATATTGAAAAAGTTTCGGAATCCATCGCCTGATGGAGCTGGACTCCAAAACGTTTTCAATATAAATATGGTGAATTTTCTTGGCGTTTTCTTTGGTTTTAAATTCCTTGTGAACTTGCGATATAAGCAGACTGATAATATAGGTCATAACATAACATAACATAACATAGTGATGTCGGCTCTGAAGTGTAGGCCTGATGTGGCCTGTCGCCGATTCTTTTCCATTTCGTGCCTTGTTCATAGATCTAAACTCGTGTCATTTGACCGGATCTTTTCATGACTGGCGATAGTTTGAAGAAGCTACTAGACTTCCACCGGGTTCGATAAGGAGCTAGGCATTTCAAATCTGAACATATATTTTTCCATAGCTTTATCTAGTCTGTTCTTGAACGCGTTCATACCTGGAGCGCCAACGATGTCATCGGGGAGGCTGTTCCACATGTCGGTGATTCGAAGCGAGAAGAAATTTTGTCGCGTGGAGAAGTTGCAGCGCAATTTTTTTAGCTTATAGCCGTGGCCCCTGGTGTTGGTTCTTGTTTCAAATTCTAGTAACCCTTTAGGCTGTCTCTTATACACATCTAGATGTGTATAAGAGACAGCTTTCACTTTGATGTATGCGGTTACTCCCTACATTATTTACAGGCCTTAATCTACGGACATCATTCCTACTAATTACTTGTCCTCCATCTCCTCTGACTGTCCTTGAGCAGCGTCATGTAGCAAGTTGTAATGTGGTCAGGCTCCGACTAGTGTTGTCAGTCTCGATGCAATAGCCAGTACGAATGGGCCTGATCCCTGCTGTTCTATGATGTAAGTGTAAGATTTCTTGCCTTTACGAATCTTACTTGATAACTGTTTTATATATTTCCTCTGTTACTGTTATGTTATAATGTTCCGTGTTGCGTTTATAAGTATTTTACATTAGTTGTTATGTTTCCAGGTAACTGGGCATTTGTTCAGTAAAGCTTGGATTGCCCAAGTTCATTCGATCATTGATCCCTAAACATACCTTGTACCCGAGGGGGCACACGGTGCTGGGGCACGGGTCAGCGACGCACGTAACTTGTCCATGCGTGCACGTGCACGAGGCGCAGTCACTCAGGCGCCACTCGCTGCCGTGCTCGTACACGACGCCTTTGTAGGCGCATTGCAGGGACACCTCAGGCAGCCTGCATACGGGGCAGCAGTCGCCGCTCTCACCCGCAACCTGCAAGTGTTTCGGTAATTGATAAATGGTAGTGACTAATCGGCCCATCATCCGCAACCTGCAAGTGTTTCGGTAATTGATAAATGGTAGTGACTAATCGGCCCATCATCCGCAACCTGCAAGTGTTTTCGGTAGTTGATAAATGTTAGTGACTAATCGGCCCATCATCCGCAACCTGCAAGTGTTTTCGGTACTGGAAAAATGTTAGTGACTAGTCGGTTCTTCACCCGCAACCAACGAGAGATTTCGATAACCAAAAAATACGCAGTTTTCTCAAAGGCTGTTCGAAAAATTGCATAATAACATTTGATAATTAAGGGAAAGAACAATAACGAATGTTTTCGATAACCGAAAAATACGCAGTTTTTTTCAATGGCTGTTCAATAAATTGCATAATAACATTTTGATAAATAAGTGAATGAAAGAAATTACTGGTTTCTCCGACACCGAAGGAAATGTTATTATAAGTACCTACTCTTATGAGAGGTCGCTTCTAAGTTGAACGTTTCTGTTTATTTGAGATGAAGTACCACGTACCTGGTACAGCACAGGGCACGTGAGTGGAGGGCAAGTACGTCTGGTACACGTGATGTTGTTGTTCATGCAAGTACAGGAGGCACACTGGTCCAGGTGGGTGCTGGTAGAACCATTGTACTGCAGGTGGTTGGCTAGCAGGCAGTGACCGCCTGGAGGGTTCACGTGAGCGTCGCGGTGACCTACCAAGCCCCAAGCAAGTATTACTAGGGTATGGTAATATAGTACAGTAGTATAGTGGAGTATAGTACAGTAGTATAGTATAGTACAGTATAGTATAGTTTAACACATTATAGTACAGTATAGTATAGTATAGCCCATGATAACATAGTATAGTAGTACAATAGTATAGTATAGTACATTAAAGTACAGTATAGTACAGTACGGTACAGTATAGTATAGTATAGGTCTGATATCGCGGGGTGGAAGGAGGATGATATATTATAATTTACGAGTAGTAAAATAAAAATAGAGAGAAATGTGCTGACCAGCGCATTAAAATATGTATATTGAAAAGCGGCAGCAAAAAAAATCGCAGAAATGTAATTTCTTTAGACAGTAGAAGATTTTTCATCTATTATTTATGACAAACTTACGAATGAAAATAGCAGTAAAAGAGTTTAATTCATAACAGGGGGAAAATTTCAAACATATTTTGTGGTAAATTCCAAGAAATTTTCACGATTAAATTCCACAATTTGCCGTCAACGACAAATTAAAATTAAAATTAAGATAAAAACGTGAATAAAGTAAACAGGAAGGAAGGAAGTCATTATTTATCTCAAATTTCCACTTAACCGCAAATAATAGAAATGTCGTAAATAAACATTTATAAATGAAACCAGTGTGATTTAAAAATGCCAAATAAAAATAAACATATATAAATGAAACCAGTGTCATTTATAAATACAAATAAAAATAAACATATATAAATGAAACCAGTGTCATTTATAAATACAAATAAAAATAAACATATATAAATGAAACCAGAGTCATTTATAAATACAAAATAAAAATAAACATATATTAATGAAACCAGTGTCATTTATAAATACAAAATAAAAATAAATATATATAAATGAAACCAGAGTCATTTATAAATACCAAATAAAAATAAACATATATAAATGAAACCAGTGTCATTTATAAATACAAAATAAAAATAAATATATATAAATGAAACCAGTGTCATTTATAAATACAAAATAAAAATAAATTATATAAATGAAACCACAATGATTTAAAATTATCAAATAAAAATCGGACAAGTTACAATGAAATTGTTAGACACAGAACAATGTGTTCTCAATACAGACCGACACACTCAGGACAGCAGTGGCCAGGCTGCTTCATTCGTTTAGAAGGCGGGCAGGAGAGAACAGGACAGGCGACTTTAGTGCAGACGAGACTGTTATGAAGGCAGCGACACGTGACGCAGGGGTCGGTGCTCAGCGTCGCAGTCTCGCCTGCTAGCAACGCGCGGCCTTCCAGTCGACAGCCTGCACGGTGGCAAGTGGCAGTGGTGGCAAGTGGCAGTGATGGTGGCAAGTGGCAGTGGTGGTGGCAAGTGGCAGTGGTGGTGGCAAGTGGCAGTGGTGGTGGCAAGTGGCAGTGGTGGTGGCAAGTGGCAGTGGTGGTGGCAAGTGGCAGTGACAGTGGTAGTGGTAAGTGGTCACGGTAAAGCCGTGAAATGAATAAAACAAGAAAATACGACTTAAATAGAATTTAAATACGACAACAGTATGATGGTCGAATGCAATTCTTTAATTCATTTGCAAGATCAAATTATCACTAATATATTTGTATAAGAAAAGCATGAAAAGATGACGACAAGGGGAATATGTTTATTTGAAAAGCATAAAGCAGGTTCTCGGAGAAGATATTGGCACATAACTCAGACCGACTCTTATTTTCAATAACAAAAAAAATAAATAATGGCTTTCATTGAATACACCATGCGATGCGGTAGCGATATCAAAGAAAAAGAACATTCATACATTTTCATATATGCAAGCATGAAAACCACTACAGCCAAATACCTACCCACAAACGTAAAAACTGCTGGCTCTCCTACAACAATTTTATGCGACTGGCGTGGACCTTCCAGGAAAAGGCATGCATGGAACAGCAATTTGAGGCCAACAATGTTTGTAGAATGATTAGAGATGCGCACGATAACACTGAGATTAGAAGCATCAACACAGTAGCGACCCAGCGCCCTGACTCTGCATTTTGGAAGACGTAGTACAGAAAACCGGTGCCGGCAGGCCTACTGTTGACAAACGTGACTGGCAGCGATCGCAGCAGTCACCTCTTGAGCCTAACGCGCAAGCCAACAACTTTTGGATGGGTGCTTTTTGATTAAATGAATTTCAGATATTAAATCAACCTACAAAATGGAAAGGATGATGAGTTTTGATAATTACTAGTGGAATACATCGTTCTTAGTTCTTTTTTTATATAGAGCAATCGACTTGATGCATGCATTATAAGTTTAAACACAACAAAATTGAAGAGGGACTTTCGCATCAAACTCATACTCCATCGTCCATTTTAGCTGATAGCGCAAGCAAAAATGCTTGCCCGATGCTGCACTAACGGCAAAGTCAACACGATGCGTTGTCACTTCAGTGCAATTGAAACTCCAAATAGATGTCAGTGTCAAAGTCACCTTATGTCACTTAACCTTGACGATATTTTAGCGTTAAAAAAATTCATAATAAAAAGAATCAGACAATTCTGCTGCTCTAACACCCAAAGTAAATAATCCTAACTAAGCACTCCTGAAAAAAAAACGTTATAGTGAAGACCAGGCTTAATCCATTCGCATGCATCGTAAATAATAAAAAGTAATAATTAAATTGCGCACACATTAAAAAAATTGTAGCATAGATTTACTTGTTCTACTGGAGCCCAAACGCCAGGTAGTTTAGTGTTAACGTGTGCTAAGTTACCGTAATGTGTGCCTTGATTAAACAACGATTAGACAGAACAGCGACGCATAGAATATCTCAACAATTACCACCTACTTGAGCTCACCACATAATGAAGGGAACAGCATCGAAAGCCATGAGGTAATAACGGATAGAGAAAGAATTACGAAAACCACTACTAAATAACGACCACAACAGACAGAAATGAGAACGTAACAACGGGAACACGCGTGGAACCACCATTCTCTTTCGACCTGAGAAAACAGGATTAATTGAACAGCTAAAGATGTCATGTCTTGATTAGGACTTGGACAGGCACGGTTAATTAATAAGTAATGGGACCCATGCCTCAATAATGACCTTAGAAAACAGGGTTAATTTCAAACAGCAACGGAAACCGTGCGTCAATAATGACCTCCGTAAACATGATGAATACGGTAATAAACAGCAATAAAAGCAGCAATAATGTCGTCAATAATAACCTGGACACTTGGACAGGCAGGATTTATCAAGCAGCAAAGAAAACCATGCCTCAATTAATCAGGATTAATCAAGTAGACGTTAATCATCAGGATTAATTTCTCCAAATTGCGGACCTGGGCAGGCAGGGCAGCATTCCCCCGGTGGGGGCGGCAGGGGGGCGGCACACGGCACATGGCACTGCTCCTCAGTGACGGTGACGACGCCGCTGTCGCACTGCTGCACACGGCAGCCTTCCCGCACCAGCCCGCCGTGTACCAGCGACACGTTGTCTTCCAGCCGACACCCTGCCATACGGTCACGGTCCGTAATAGAATAGAATAGAGTAGAATAGAGTAGAATAGAGTAGAATAGAGTAGAATAGAGTAGAATAGAATAGAATAGAATAGAATAGAATAGAATAGAATAGAATAGAATAGAATAGAATAGAATAGAATAGAATAGAATAGAATAGAATAGGGATCCGGCCTTTGGAACCCGATCTTTCCATAGCTGACGATTGATTGAGATAGCTGCTGGACTTATTGCCTGAGGGCATGGGGTTGTACCATACTGCCAGGTATATGCCAGTCACGGTCTAGTACTATATTCTTTAATGCTTCTACATAGAAGCAGTCACGCCAGGGGTAAGTGCCTTGCACGGCTGGTGTGAATGCTTCTATAGAAATGCATTAAAGAATATTGGGCTGGACCGTGACTGGCATATGCTTGGTATATATACATGTCCGGCAGTATGGTGTGAACCAGGCCTTATGTGCGAGTTTTCAAAAACTTTCACATACTAACCGCTAGGTACAATTTACCGTGCTTTTGACATACTGTATAGGCGTTACTGGTCCCGTATATGGGCCCAGTAAACCTTTACTAAAAGCCAGTAGCATAATAATAAGTAGCGGTTAATATTTGAAAGTTTACTGGCCGCCGCTTCTTTCTCTGCATACAAGCATATGAATGGACACGGATGTGTGTATGTGGTGACTATATGGCACATAAATGTAGTGAGTGAACAAGGTGAGTTCGTTACACGTGAATGTGAAAGCCAAGTTCGCATGATGGGCACTGAGATGTAGATGTGGTGACTACTTGGTAGACATTGAGACACGAGCCCATTGAAATTCAACGCAAATTCAAGACAACTCAGAAAATTTTGCGCTTACCTTATACTAGTGTAGTTCAACCTAAAATAATTCGCAATCGCTGGCACGTCGACAGTCACAATCAAGAATATTAACCTATTTTGTTGAATAAATTATCGACTGAATTATCGATACAATGAAGTTCTACGATCTTGATTTAGCCGCTAAGCAGGGAACAAGCTCATTAATGACTGAAAGAATTATAGACGCAATGAAGTTCTCAATCTTGATGTAGCCGCTAAGTAGGGAACAAGCTCATCAATGAATTAAAGAATGATATATACAATGAAGTGATAAGATGTTGCAGTAGAAACAGGGAACAAGCTCATTAATGACTTAAAGAATTATCGATACAATGAAGTTCTCAATCTTGATGTAGCCACTAAGCAGGGAACACAAACTAACTAATTAATGAAAGAATTATGGACGCAATGAAGTGATAAGATATTGATCTAGCGGAAACTGTGCTAAACAAGGAACAATCTCATTAATGAATGAAAGAATTATAGATGCAATGAAGTTCTACTATCTTAATGTAGCCGCTAAGCAGGGAACAAGCTCAATAATTAATGAAAGAATAATTGACGCAATGAAGTGATAAGATGCTGCAGTAGAAACAGGCTGACCTTGACACGACTTGCAGGAGCAGCGGTCACCCACGTCAGGGATGAGGCGGTAGCATCCCTCGCTCTTGGGGCAGCGGAAGCCGCACTTCACAGTTCCGTTCTGTAATCTGTAGTCGATTAAACTATTTCAACCAGCACCTACCTAGAGAGCAAGTTAAATGTTATTTACATAAAATGCTATATATTTTATGTTATATAATATGCTAAGTATAATGTAAACTAATGCAATGTCATTTTATTATTCATCATCGTTATAAGGCATATATTACGAGCAAATAGAATTTAATTTCCCTTTAACAGACCAATCCAGTCGAAAGGCTTTGCTGTGTTATGCAATACCCAATAAAAAATAATATTTTAAGTTAAATATTTCTTTCGTATTCAAAGTTTGTTAAGCGGGAATTTATTAACTAACAAAGTACTATACTTCAGAGCAGTTGTGCCAGTAATCGAGATTATAAAGTATCAAGTGCATCGTACTCAATGATTAAGGTTGGTTAAAGGTTAAAAATTTCCAGCTCTTTGCTGAAAGGCCAAAAAGTAGATTTCTGATATTGGGATTGAGCCATCACGTGCAATGAGTCAATTTGTGGACAACTCATTTTGAGTGCGAGTCTCGCAGATGTGCATACGTCTAATCTCAAGCTGTCTGTTGCTAAGCACAGTACCTTCCTGGCGTGAGGTCGACAACCGCAAGCCATAAATTGATGGAAACATACGAGCTTAGTCGCACGGCGGTCTTAGTAATACGTTTCCATCGCCCGGCACGCGATCTCTTGCGAAGAAACGCGCTATGTTTTGGCAGCCTTGTACAGGTTTTAGGCAGGCTGTTCAGCGCCTTCAACGCGTCAGAAATATCGAGGATATCAGCGACCATCAGACATTGGAAAAGTCGCCACAAACCAAAACTTAGACGAGCCCAAACCAAAACTCAACAGTAGACGAGAAGAAGATATACTCGTGCGGATTTAGAACCGGCTTCTGTAGTGCAATATATAGATTGTGGAGGAGCAATATATAGATTGTATATATTGTATAGAAATTGTAAATATATATATTGTATCTACATATTGGAGTGCAATGTGTAAATTGTGCTGCAAGTAACAATACCAACGAGTAACTACCTTGCTTTATTTATGAATTATGAATCTATAATAATCAATGCAGTGTTTTAAATGATATGTTCGAGAAGATATTATATCTCCGTTTGAACCTATGAAGTTGACGTAGCGCAGAAGCCTCCTAAATAACACAAAGAGATGATATTGAAGACACCATAATTCAGCCGCTAGCACCTTGAGGAGAGCAGAGACAGACATCACCCTTCACGCATCGTAGGACGTTATTTACGAGGGCAAACAAACAGAGCAGTGCCACACATACACAGCGTTCAATTTACGCCCGTACTAATGCACTAGTCCGAGACTTATTATTATGCATTACAAACTCAATCATAAAGGAACAACTACAGCAGCTCCGATATCTGCGGGATAGTCTCGAGATGCTTGTAAAAGTTAGGGCTGAGGTCTGCACGATATCTTCAATATAATGCCTTCTTTCATGACCAGCTTGTCTCACAGCGTGCTTGTAATGGTGCAAAAAAGAACAGAGAAAGTATCGTCAACAACTTTAGGTTCATTTAAGAATTGCAAGAACTACCAACTATAAATAGAATGCATGTTTTAGGATCGCACTGTNAAGAACAAACGTGGCAGTAGTAATCCAAGTTCTGTCGAAATTTTCTCTCGATATATCGTGAAATTTTCATAGCACGAAGTTGTATATCATGCCATAGAAACAAAGCAAATTTTTTAGAAGGTTTTTTTGTTTTCACTTTAAATTCTGCGCATTTAATTCAAATAGGTAATAAAATAGAAAAGATCAACAGGCATTGCAGGAAAACCCCGTGTTTTATAAGTTAAAATCTCTCAGGTGATTCTAGCCTTTACATTTAAAAAAATGAGGCGATTTTTCGACAATCATTTGGGAATAATTGACATGTCTTATTATTTAGAACCACTTACTAGTTTTAGTATTGGGAATAGAAAAAGAAGCATCGACCTATGCATATTCAGTGAAATGCAAGCAATCGTATGGACACAATCCGTTCGCTAAAAAAGAATATTTTTTATATAATAGAATTACATATTAATTAGTTATCAATTAGTTAAATGAATTAATTAATGATTATTTACATTTCATTAATATCACTAATTATATTATTTAATATTGAACTTTAATGTTAAATGTAAAAAACTAGAATAATTTCCTTAAGACACGAGCGGCCACCCGGATTGGTATAAAGTAACCGGGAGTGTCAAGGATCATAGCGGCGATTCCGCAAGCAAGCTTTTCCAGAGTAATAATCAAAAATATAACTCAGTACTCACTGCAGTGAGTGACAGAGAGCGCATTTTCTCGTTGACGAAAACTTGAGGTCACGGACGGACGGACGGACAGACAGACAGACAGACGGACATGGCGAGCACAATAGTGCATTTTTTCCATAAATGAGAAAATGCGCTAAAAACATCTTGAGTTCATACCACGGCAAGGATGCATGTACTGCCTCAAGCAGCAAAGGCTTGGCAAACGACGAAACATTGAACGAGTGTGAATTGAGTGTACGAGAAAGTGGCTGACTTGAGAAGGATTATTTGGCACGCTGCCACAACCGACTTACAGGAAGCTCGAGCGATCCCAGCTGCCCTGTTCAGCGGCACGGCCACGAGGGGTTCAATCACGTAGACGGCCTCCATGTAAATCCTAGTTCGCAGATGTTTTTTTTTCGCGTGAACGGAAGATCTTATTTTATGAGATTAGTGAGATCCCGTAGCATGTATGGAGTGAGATCCTGTATCATGCAGGGAGTAAGATCCGGTATCATGTATAGGGAGTAAGGTCCTGTATCATGTATGGAGTGAGAACTTGTATAATGCAGAGAGTGAGATCCCGCAATTACAGAAGGAGTTATATTCCGCATCATATTGGGAGCAAGATTCTGCTTCAAGTATGTCGTGAGATCCCGTAACATGTAGGAAGTGAGAGCTTGTATGACGCAGAGAGTAAGATCCTGTATGATGTAGGGAGTAAGGTCATGTATGATGTAGGGAGTAAGGTCATGTATGATGTAGGGAGTAAGGTCATGTATGATGTAGGGAGTAAGGTCATGTATGATGTAGGGAGTGAGATCACTTACTATGTAATGAATTGTTACAAGTTCTATGGAGGGAGAGTATAAGGTATTGAGCTGGGCTAAGGAAAAGATGTTGAGAAGAGAACAAAGTATTGTTCTGGGCTGAAGAAAAAGTATTGTGCTAGGCTAAGAAAAAGTTATTATGTTGAACAGAGAACAAATTTCATGTTGAACTGGTTGTAAGGTATGAGTGTCGTGAATGAGAAACCTGATCATCGATAACTTGGCTTTCTTTCATGTTCTCAACTTTTCATGGTACTCGGTGGCAAATAAAATATAAATAAGTTTCAATTGCCTGCCAATTTCGTCTCGATTAGCCGACAAACTCAAGCCAAGCCGGAACCAAGATCAAAATTATTTTCGCCTTGCCTCAAAATAACTTTAGGGCAGCTATAGCGCGTTGATAGAGCTGCACGAGGTGTCAGCAGGGCGCATATCTCGGAGGAAGTGTATAATTAACGCATTAATGGCATGGACGATTCTGTCGTCAACCTGCTGCCCTAAAAACCAGTGAGCTCCACAAACGAGTCCTGCCATGGAAACAAGAGCACACGAGTAGATCAAGATAATTTTTTAAGCAGTATAAAGTGCGAATTTTTGTACGAATTTCCAAGAATGGATGAGTTTTTGCATTTGACGCCTCGTTAGATAAGGAGAGTTCAGTGTCTTGCAGAGGAGATGGTGAGCCGTCAATCGACCGAGCAAGAATGAAAAAAGTTTTGTACGGTAACAATAAAGGAGTGGCTCGCGCCTCTGTGGAATTTGCATCTGCACGCTACCCTACCACTGCAAATATGCTAATTATGTTCAAATTATACTTGAATGATACCATTTGTATTGAACTTAAATAAAACACCAATGAAACAACACGTTCTTAAAAGTTCGGTTCGTGAAGTTCTATTAGTGATGTACTTGAATCCGCACTCCGCAGGTAGCGTCATTTTTAAATATTCAGTTAAATATACATTATCGCAGTAATATACATGATCGCAGTAATACATATACATGATCGCAGCAAGTTTGAATCAAAATTCAATTTTAGCAAAGTTTTTTCATCATCCACGAAGTTCATGAATCCAAGTGGTTAATACAAAAGGCATAAATGGATTAAGGTTCTTTGAATGAGAAAAATGAAAATAGAACTGAATGAATCTACATGTTTTCAAAATACAGTGAAAGTAAATAATTTAAGAAAATTACTAGTGGCTAATTAACGTTGCTATTCCAAAATACCATTATTCAACTTCGACTATTTTTGTTAACTCAAAAACTATTTACTGAAACCAATGATATACACAACAAATTCCACCAAGAACGTTCCGTCAGAGCTGTTTTTCCTGCCGGCCTTGCAAGGCAATTCGACGCGATCGAAGTTCGATTCATCAGTCAAGTCTTGGGGGCTCGCTGATGGAAAATTCACGCTATCCGTCAACGTCCGCAAATTGCGGAAGACTGACAGCCGCCTCATATCAGGCACGAATTTTCTCTCAACTTCGCCCCGAATAAGGACAAGCGAATGTAATAATAATAATTGGGATAAAATGCGATAAAAATTGGGATAAAAGCGATCAAAATACCGCCAAAATTCTATATTTAAGAAAGAATGCTGGAACAAGGGAATGTTGGCTGGAACGATTGTTTTTAGCAGGCCTCAGACGCTCAGAATTTGTGGTCACTATCGAGTTGAAAACGAGCTCCATCGGTCATGATTAGGTTCCACAGAGCGAGCCGCAATTCTTGCCAGGAATTTTTGCGAAAAATCAGCTTGCTTTTTGCAGTAGGTAAGCCAGAGCTCTCAAATAAATACATTTATTCTTACATGAAACTCGCGACCTGGAATAAAACATTTTGAAGAGATTTCCAAAACAACCCTAGCTGAGTGGAACGTTTTCTGGTCGATCAAAATTTATTGATGGCAATACTTTAGGGTTGTCGGTAAAATGTTAACACATAAATCGATAAATATCGAATTTCTCTTATTTGCGTTGAGCTGAAAATTGGAAGAAAAAAGTGTATAATTTTAGGTCGACGTAAGTTTTAAGTTGTTCATGAATAATGCACCATTCTCAAGTACGTCGCCAGTTGCTTGATGTTCGCAGGATATAAATAAGCTTGTAGGCTTATAGGGTGCACGAAATTACTAGTGGAGGAAAAGATGGCATGAAATTTTACTCAATGTCATAAGCCGGGTTGCGGAGCAAGTTGCATAAACACATTAATCAGGAGGGCACTCGTGCTGCTATACCCTAAGGAGTATATCAAGGGACTTGTCAGCGCGAATAAATGTGATACTCATGAAAATATCTTTTCAAGTTTATCCACGTGCGTAGATATTACAATGAGACGTAGCACACGGGAGTAGGTATAACATGATATGATAAATAATATTTAAAATATATATAGTATGATAAAGTAGGTATAATAACTATATGTAACACATTTCTAGCTTAACTTGGCAGTGCTCGAGATCCATAATCCCTAATGATTAAGAATCTAGTTACAAAAGCTTAAACCTCGAGATCGGAGAATTCAATCACTTCTTTCAAGTGGTTGTAATCATAAAGCTCAGAGAATGAGAAGTCTAGTCGTAATTCTATCACGAAAATTATCATTCTAAAGTGTTAACACCAAAATTATATCTTGTGCTTAGCTAGACATAACCAAGTTTGTTAAAAACAAGAGACCCCCTATAGAAACTAAATTCAAAGTTCTGAATATAAATGACATTGAATGACATAACAAAACATGTCTAAATGAAGGGCTCTACGCTGAACATACAAGTCTTAACATAATACACGAGTGAAAGAAGCTATGCACTGACCACACAGGAGCAAGAGATGCAGGGGTAATTCGAGCGCAGACCGAAAACTTTATGGAGAGTGTCGGTGATGTTGGTGCCTTCGTGACATGGCAGTCGCTCGCCTGTAATCAAATACGACAAAATTACATACTTTGCTTTGTTTACAAAATTACATACTTTGTAATAGTTTCATACTTTGGTTATGAAACTTTTACAAAATAAAATTACAATGATAAACAAGAAAATGTTGAAATTTATTTCATTCTGATATCAAGTTTGAGTGATTCTCTAATTAATTAACGTGTGCTTATTCGCAGAACACTCGAGAAAATGGAAGACAGCGTGAAATAAGAACATTCACACTTACTAAGCCGCTAAAAAATTAACATTACGTTTTCTGCAAGAAATTTGGATTTATATTGGATAAAAACCATGGAATCGAATTATAAATTTACACCTATTGGAAATAAGGTAGAAATATTACAAGATTGGGCGATAGCTCAGGCCGACAGGTTCTATTTTTCAACGCCGACACTATCATATATACTTTATTTACGTACTATATGGTTCACGAGGTGGCGGAAAAAATTCTGATCAATCTTATTTTGAAATCACGGATCTATATATAAGCTTGGCATTTTTTGCGAGACGAAGCCTCAGGAGGAGGTCTCTGTAGAGTAAGAATTATAGGATGCTTAAGATCCGACCAGATTTAAATTTTAGAACTTAATCTATGCCATATCGGGGCATCATTGCCTTAGCGTTGGTCATAATTATGACTCATAAAGCCATAAGATCGTACCACCTACATGGTTCACAAGATAAATAGTCTTAATTATGATACATAAAGTCATAAGATAGTACCACCTGGATTGTCCACAACATTAAACGCATTCGACATTATAAATAATATGAGTCGGCACAGCTCTATAAGCCGGCACTATATACGATAACACTAACAAATTGTGAATATCGTTTATCTAGCATGATGATCAAACCAAAGTTCACTAATTCATTCTTTGTATAAACAAATTTATAGAAAAATGATGATGATAATAATGCGTGAATTATCCACGAGCATTCTATCAAGATATTAGCATCCGAAATTTTTCACTTGCTCATTCGTCCAGTCACCAACCTTTACGATAAGTTATTCGTGCGAGGAACATCGTTGAATAATAATATAATATGTATAATAAATAATAATAATTACATCAACCTATGTTAGCCTATGTGTTAACTTCTCAGTCGGTTACAATTTACGTCATCTAATTATCTCGTTTGCCTTTGAAAACTATGTTCATTGGAATACGTTTGGTTTCAGAAGCCGGTTATAAGTGTAGTTAAATGCCCTCTCGTTACCTCTTAACGTTTAATTTTTCATTTGCACATAAAAATAGGTTGGACAAAATAAGGGAGATGCCTGACATTTTGATATTGTAATTTTTGTACATGTTATAAACAGAAGAAACGTGACATATTTTTATGTTTTATTGTTTATTGTTGCTGCTAATTGATATTTTATCCTTGCACAGATATTTTTTGTAAATTTTTGTGTCTTTAAACTAACCTATAGCCTATAAATGGCAAACATCTCTGACTTTCAAAGAGGCCAAATTGTTGGTGCCCGTATGGCAGGTGCTAGTGAGACAGAAATTTCCCGAATGCTTGACATTTCTAGAGATACTGTCTCAAAAGTAATGACTACTTTTGAAAGAGAAGGAGGTAAACGACCTCAGCAAAGCACAGGTCTGGCCAAAAGTCGAAGTTGTCTGAGAGAGACCGTCCGTACCTAAATCGAATTGAGAGGGACAATCGAAAGACCACGGCTGTTAAAATTACTACAGACCTTATATAATGGAAACCTATATATATAGAACCCACTTTCCATAAAGACTGTCTGCTAAGAGCTGCACAGATCTGGATTCTATGGAAGAACAGCAATTAGAAAACCACTGGTTTCGAATACTAATGCTTCAAAGCGTTTAGAGTGATGTAAAAACCTCCAGAATTGGTCCATCGAGCAGTGGAAAAATGTGATTTTCTCTGACCAATCATCGTTTACCTTATTTCCAACCTCTGGCCGAGTTTACGTTTGGAGACAGCCAAAAATGTCATTTGATCTCGACTGCCTCGATCCTCCCAACCGTATAACATGGCGGGGGATCTGTGATGATCATCTGGGGTATTTTTTGGAAATCTTGCGGACTAATGATTTCTCTTCATTGAAGAATCAGCAGCCGTGACTATTTAAGAATTTGGGAGGACCAAGTTCATACAATGGTTCAAGCACTGTTTTCAAAGGGGAACGCCATCATTCAAGATGATAATGCCCCGATCCATACAGCTGGCATTGTTAAAAAATGGCTCGATTAACATTCTAATGAAGTTAAGCATCTCATTTGGACACCACAATCACCAGACCTGAGTATTATCGAGCATTTATGGTCGATTTTAGAGATGCAAGTCAGAAGTCGATTCCAATGCATCGCCATCTTATTTAAAAGAGCTGCAGGGAGTTTTAGCAGAAGAATGGGTTAAATTCCATTTTGAAACAATTTACAATTTGTATTAATCAATACTACGGAGAATTGAGGCTGCTATTGCCGCAAAAGATGGGTCTACACCATACTAAAATATATTTTGTGGATCTCTCAGGTGTTTCCCTTATTTTATTTTACCTCTGTACATTAAAATTTAATAATTTCCTCTTCCCATTTATTTAAAAATTCAATTTGCAAGCGCTACTGCGTATGTTTGGTTGTTCCATGAATTAAATATTAAAAATTATACATAGTTGTTCAGTAAATTTAAAATGCACGAAGGAGCATTGCGGACCCACATATACTCGTGTCATGCTACGCACTTGAAGGAACATCACCGACCCACAGTCGTGTCATAGTGTGCCTCTCAGGGAACATGTCAGGAGGCCGGCAGTATGATGTGTTAACACGCAAATGGAAGCCGTCGATGAAGAGGTAATGGTGCGAACACGCATGTTTGTTTGGCTATGCGTTAGGCGGTATAGATGACAAGCAAGGTGCTACATAATGCGCACGGCACACACAAGAGGCAGTAATGCATCTCAATGAGCCGTGGGGCTTCACCACAAGCGGTCTATCAGGCAAAGCAAAGTAATAAGCGTCTACCAAGTCTGGGTTTCTCTCGCAATAATCGATTCAGTGAAGAAATTAACGACTGAGGCGAGATACTAAAAAGTAATGGCGACACAGGGCTTCTATCAAACAAACCGCATAATCAAGGCTCCAACCACAGGTGCATGGGGAACGCACGTATTCAAGCTACATTATTTATCTTCACAGAACCTGTGATAACATAAGAAACTTTTAGAGGATTTGAAAAGGCTAACTATAAAAAGTGAAAGCCGGGAATTTACTTCGAATTTTAATGCAACGATTTAACCTCTAAATTTTGAAGCACAAAAAGCCAATTCCTAATCATAGTAATAATCTTTATCGAACACAACATAAATTACCACTACCAAATTTTCAAAATTGAAACATATGCAAGTATGCAAGCTACATTACATACATATCTTCACAGAACCTGTAATAGGCATAAGAAACTTTTAGAGGATTTGAAAAGACAGACTATAAAAAAGTGAAAGCCGGGAATTTACTTCGAATATTAATGCCACGATTTAACCTTTTGAAGCACAAAGAGCCAATTCCTAATCATATAAATAATTTTTATCGAACACAACTTTAAATTACCACTACAATATTTTCAAAATATCTACCAAACTCGATACATTCAGATTGGAAGATTTGCATTTTACAGCTAATTTTAAAGTTCAATACGTAATGGACGATTAATTTACCCTATAACAAGTTTAAAGGCGATTGGAGACCCCGCAATTATCGCCGCCATCCTGAGCTCAAATTGGGTCTCAGCGATCACTCTTGTCGGCAAACTGCAAGCTTCTATCACTGCTATTGGAAATAGAGTCTAATTATTGTCTATTGATATCTGTTAAAGGCAAAGACAATTTACGATAGTCTACGGCTGCTGAACTGTCATAATTACTACCTATTCACTATAGAAGTGGACAGTTGTTGAAAAATCCTGGAGGCAAAAAAAAGTCAACACGACTTGTATCATAGCAAAATTGTTCATAGTTGAAATTTTCTTAAGGAAGGATTTAGTTATCATTCAGATGTAGAGGAGGCAAAGAGTCCATGCACTGGCCAGGTAAGAAGAAGGCTCCCACAGACAAGACACAGCAGGCTGCAGGGGCGTAGCCTGGTCTGAGCCAAGGTTGTGTTGCAACGTCTGCCCCAAGTTTCCAGGCATATTCCTCGCCTGTAACGGCCCATCGGAATGCCAAAGTATGCACTCGACATGCGCTTACTATGCTCACAAAGCAAACGATCATTTTGTTCAAACACATACTTCAGATTGAGAATTTAGATAGATTATATCGGAATCTATGGCCAAAAAATTTATCCTAGACTTGAAGATTCTGCCCAAGCGGATTCTGGATTTCAGAGAATGAGAGTTGATGGTATCTGCACAACGCCTCTCTCGATGTGATCCAACAAATTCGTATGGCATCATTCAAGTCAGATAAAATTGCCCATCGATTAAATTAGGTTCAAACGAAAGCACAGAGGGCTTAGCAGTAACAGAAACGAAGAATTTACCATCGAGGCCGATAGGTTTGAGGCTCGACATTTTTTTTGGGGCGCTTTTAATTGGCTATTTGGATCCAATCGAAGTCGCTAGAAAAAGCTTTTACTGTAGCTGTTTAGAGCGCTTTGATGAAAGTTTTATTGGGCATTTTAATTGAAATTAGAACATCATGTGGTAGCTTCGGTAATAGAAGGCTAAGCGTTGGCCATTTTCTATACATCTTCTTATTTGATTTTATGTTTCAAAGATTAGAATGAATGAAATCATCATACTAATTTACCGGACAAGTAATGTAAAATGCAGGGATCGAATATAACCCTGATATTAGATGCTTGGTTAACTTATAAATTGTTCTCTTAAAGAGATTTCCAAACGTAAGACATGCAAGCTTCACACAGCGCCAACTTATTTTTAAATCTTCTATCAGTACAATCATCAGAAGATTGAATTCTCCAAATTACAGCGTATT